AATACCAATATAGATCTGGATGTTTACATCATAAAGCCATTATTAATTCTTCCTCCTCTTCTTTTAGGGCACCGTAAAAAAAAAGTCCTTACACAACAAACATTTTGGGAGGCCTGGAAATTTCCATTTGAAATGCAGGTTTGGAAACAAACAATCAAGGAACAACTATTTGTGCACAGCATTTATTATTGTAAAAAGATCGGATCAGTTGACAGATATTCCGGCTTCCAAAATATACACATTTGCAACCAGCGGTCCCAACATGCACGATCCACTGCCTGCTGCTTTCAGCATTCTTTTCTTGCTCATAAATATATTCCTTCCTCCAATAGCTTTTTTTCTCATTCCTGACAAAGCTGATTTATAATCAGCTGATTGTGGCTGAAGTCACTGGAATCTGGATTTGGCCCATTATAAAAGAACGTTCGTTGCTGCACATCACTGAGATCTCCTGTGCAGAAATGGGCAGTTTTTGATTGCTAGAGAGCTTTTGTGTGTAAGAATTGTACTGAAGCAAAAATTTTACTGTGCTCACATTCATATATCATGTAGGGCGGCAGCTGCTTGTTTGAAAAACAGTGCCTGCAAAACCCCCATTCTCTACACTCTAGAGATGGGAAGATGTGACTGGATCCCCCCCCAGCATCCTCACCATTAGCCAAGTTGGCTGAGCCTGATGACCATTGAAATTGCAGTCCAACAACATTTGAAGGCTTCAGTGTTTCGACTCCTTGGTTTACACAAATATTATTGGGGCCACAGGGATGATAAGGATGAAAGGGAACTGCTAAAATTCCCTGGTAGTGTTTTCTAGTGAGAAGTGAAGGGGACCTATCCTTGGGATAAAGGAAAAAGTTTGCTGAAATGGTAGAAGGGATGCAGAGCCAGCCCTGACAGTAGACAGAATGAAGCAATTGCTTTAGCCAGCTGGTTCTTCCGGCAGTGTTATCAGCCTCCCATATATATTTGCTGGACTTCCCAAGTGTTCTGCTAAGGAATGTGATATTAAGAGTCTGCGGGATACTCAGTAAAATTTTCAGACAGAATCTTCCCAGGGATGACAGAGTGGAGGGTAGCCATGCAGCTTTTCTCCCTAGCAAGTTATCCTTTGTGTGATCGGCTGCACAGTGATTGCCAAATTGGTGCAGGGCCATGCAAAAATGATGGATTTCTATCACCAGTTCGTAAAAGTCTTTTTTATTGGCTTAGGCTGCCTTGATACAAAGCAAGGGAAAAAAAATCTGGATAACAGATCTACAAGATTACTCATCTTCAGGCAAGACATGGAGTACAGTACTATTTCTTCTCCTCAGGGTCTCCATAATTTGTGCAATCCGACTCTGCAAAATAAGTTGCCTTTCTCTTTGAGAAAGCTGACTGGGTAGCTCAGTGAGTAAGGTATCTGCCTGAAGAGCCAGAGGCTCGGTGTTTGATTTCCCGCTCTGCTCCTGTGAACAGAGCCAGCCTGTGTGGCCTTGGGCAAGCTATACAGTCCCAGAGCGCCCCCAGAAGAAAGGCACAGTAAACCACTTCTATGTATCCTGTACCTGGAAAACCCTGAAAAGGGTCACCATAAGTCAGAATTGACTTGATGGTACAGGATTGCCATCTATTATTCTCTTTGAGAAGCAAAACTCACAGAGCAAGCAAAGAATTACTGGGTAATTGTTCAACAAGATTTAAAAAAACAGCTTTACACTCTTAAAAGTTCATGCAACAAAGCAGCAGCTATGTCCATGTTGTACACGCTACAAAAATTTGCTTAATTTGAGGGGGGGGGGAAAGAATAATTCTCATTCTTGCCACTAAAACTTTGCTGCCTTTCAGAAAAAGGAGAATGGCTTTGTGGTTCTTTCCGGGACAAGCGAGGATGGAAGTGAAATTCAGCAACTATTCCTTCTGTATATCTGTAGGTGGATTGCATGTCACTTTGACCTCTGTCTTGGGTGACCAAATATCAGGCTGGATCTGGAGAGATTGTTGATTTCAGAACATGGGGAGCCTTCAGCCACCCTGAGGATTCAAGGTATGACAGTCCAAAAAGGCAATGTTTCTATATTCTGGTTTATTTTAGATTAGTTTGGCATTTCTGGCCTCACCAGTTATCTCAGACATACAGGCCACTTCCTTCCTCACCCACTTCGTAAAATCTCTTTAAAGAGGAGATGCAATAAAACAAATCTGGAATCATATGAGCAAAAGATGAGAACTGACATTTAGCTATAGACATCACCCCACCTTCCTTGCATCGTTTCACCAGCTACCTCTGAACTGTAATTTTTTCTTGAATGCTCTAAATTCTCCTTGCTTTTTGCATTACCTTGTAAAAGAAATAGCATTGTAAAACTAAATGTACAAGTGGTCCAACACTGAAGCAGTAGCCATATCTAAATTCTGGAATAAGAGACATCATCTGTGCAGCAGTCAGGTTTGTGCCTAGTAAATAAAAATAAAAGATGAAAAAACATTCTCTAATTTCTGCAGAATCTGTTTTCTGTAATGCATCCAGATATATATGGAATTGGAATACCTCTGCCTACCTGTCTTATCTAGCTATGTATTTTATTTAAAATGTTACCCAGGACCCAATTATTTCCTGTTTATTCCATATCATACTGAAGGAAAATTGGGGACTGAAACAGAGCAGTATCTTGCATAATTAGTGCTATCTGTGTATTTTGCTATTTGAACTATCTTTTAAAGATGAAGTACTGTAGAGATTATCTTTTACAATGGGATTACTATCTGGTCAGAGGTAGAACTAGTCAGAGGGGAAGAGTGACATCTAGTGGTTGCAGTTCATGCCTGCTTCCTTTTGGGTCTTTCCTCCACTCCCGCCTAGGCCTGTCTGCTTATTAATTTTGTGCAAATGATTGCAAACCTTATTTTGCTTCTATGCAGTTTTCACTTCTGCTTCACACACACTATTTAGATTTCTTCCCATGAACCAAAAATATAGAGTCACCCTCTGTTCCCTGGATGCCTCTGGGTAGAACAATAAAATCAGCAAAGGCAGAAGACCTTTGACACCCCAAATTATAGGGGGATAGTTATTGTGGGTTTTTTGGGCTGTTTGGCCGTATTCTGGAGCCCAAAAAACCCACAACCACCATCAGATCCTGGTTGTGAAAGCTTTCAAGAACATATAGGGGGATTGTTTTCAGGACCTCTAGCAGAGCAATCCTAAACAGGATAGTGCAAAGGAAAATTACAGGGTGTTAGTCAAATCCAAATTCATGCTCACACATCCTTGTTAGGAGCACATTAAGTAGGGGGACAGGATTTCCTCTTTAAGTTCCCGAGCACATTGTGTGTGTTTTTTTAAAATATCTTCTGCCAATGACGGCAGGACAGGGGGCTTACATCAGAGCCAGCTGGCTTGATCCTACAGCCTGTCAAGGGAGCAAAGAGGTGGATACAAAGGCCGCCTCTGATGTGCAGACCTTCCGTTTCAGGAACTACCAGCAGCAGCAACCCCACCAGCCAGACTCTTACACCTGCCAAGCTTTCCACAGATGTTCTGGGGGTTCCTGCAGAGACAGGCTGCTCTGCTGGTACAGGGAGACTTCTGCTCCCTCCAACTCACCCTCAGCTGTCCTGTGCTATAGGGCTGGTCTGTTAAGCATCATAGTGATCCTGGAAAATCTGGGAACAATCTTCAGTGAATAAAACTAGACAGAGAATGTGGATTGAGGCTGGTGGGGTACCATTTTGGGGGTGCCCTGATAACCACTGTTTCTTCCAATAAGCAAACAGAACAAAGAAATGAAATAAATACATTTTAAAATAACCTCTTATTCTTTATTAAAGCTATCTCACCACATATTTAAAACCTTGGGTGTTTTTTTAAAGTTTTTCTCCTTGTCCTGTTATTGTTGCTGCCACTGTGGCTGCTGCCTGCCGTGTGGGGCACATCACCTGGGGTGGGGCACATCTCCGTTCCAGCAAAATCCACCAGCCCCACCCTGACCATGACCATTCCTCCCATACAGAGACATTTCACAAATAATCACCCGTTGTCATCCTCACCCTCATTCCTTAAAGTCTCAATCCTCTGCCATTTTCCACGTTGGGTTGATCCTAGCAGACAGACCATTAGGAATTGCCTGGCAACAACACATTAACGCCACGATTTAAAGGACAATCTTATGCATGTCTACAGTGGTGCCTAGCTTAACAAGGATAATCCGTTCCAGCAAAATCGCTGTAGAATGAAATCCTCGTTAAGTGAAATTTAAAAAGCGCATTGAAACACATTGAAAGCCCTTCAATGCGTTCCAATGGGCTGAAAACTCCCCATCCAGCGAAGATCCTCCATAGGGGTGGCCATTTTCGCTGCCTGTAAAGTGAGGAATCCGTCCTAGAAAACAGCGGGGGGCCATTTTGTACACCCGACGGCCATTTTGAAACCCGACAATCAGCTGTTTTTAGATCGGCGTAATGCGAAAATCAGCAGGGAACCGATCATCGTGAAGCAGATTTTTCCCATTTAAACTATCGTTTTGCGATCGCTGTTGTGATCGCAAAAACCTAATAGTCAAGTGATTTCCTTGTTAAGCGAGGTAATAGTTAAGCGAAGCACCACTGTACTCCCTAGAGAGGTGGGAGGCTTGTCCTTCTTCTGATTTTGTTGGTTGGCAACTCCCATCTGCTCCTGACACTTACAGTTCCTGGTAAGAGATGATGGGAGCTGTAGTCCAACAAAACTTGGAGGACTATGTTGCTCATCTCTGGTTTTAAAACTCATTAAGCACAGTAGAGCTTACTCCCAAATTAACTATGCATAGTATTGAAGCTTAAACGGGTAACTACCTTGCCCCAGCTGAAAAAGCATAGCAAGGATAAGTTTCCCAGTTAATGTAGTAGATAGAGTGATGGATTAGAACTCTGTAGAACAGGGTTCAAATCTCCAGTTGGCCATGGAAACTCACTGGGGGAGTTGAATGGGTACAACCACTCCTTAAAGATCTCACTTACCTTGAAAGGCCTGTTAGGGTTACTATAAGTCAATTACAGTATTTGATAGCACAGAACATACACAAGAAAAGTTACTTTTTAAGACTACAATAGAATTCCCAAAGTCAACATGGAATTGGCTATGCTATTTAGCGGATTCTGAGCACTGTAATATTCCCAGCTGACTTTTCCAAGCTCTTTTTAAAAATAAGCCAATAAAATAAGAGGAATGTTGTGATCTCCATCTTGGGGATTCAATCTTTCTTAACATTTAAGGTTCCACAGGCTGACCAGCCTCGTCCCAGGGCTCTATTTGCTTGTGGGGAGCAGCCAAAGGCTACATCATAACAACTTCACAATAATACTAGTAATCAGAAACTAACATCTTCAAAGCATGTTGTAAGCAGAATTTAATCCCCTTACCACCCTATGGGGTATTTTTACAGATGACAGCCTTGGGCCAAAAGCCAAAGGACACTGTCTTCCCTCCTGAGGGGAAAGAACATCGGAATGTAGGTCAAGTCACATTTCTATTCATCGCTCCATCGAGGCTCCCAATGGGCATTTGGGTGGTTTCCTTTAAACTCAACATTATGTATATTCAAGAATCTTATCAATTTAACAAAATGCAAAACCCTCAAGCAGGCCATTCCCTGGTCAGGATCAACTCGGATTCCTCAAGAATATGCACACCTTCAAGTTCTCCAGAACTCTTCAACAGTTTACAGAATTTTAGTTGGTCTTAACAAAACAATTGTCACCTGTGGCGTTTTGTTTGTCAGCCTAGCTGTCCAAATGAAGAGGACTTGCCAGCATAGGCAAAGTGTATGATCGTTCTACATATTCCTTCAGGGCTCCATGTTCCACCCTGCATGTAAACACAGCCTTTCCTGCCCCATGCCTTGGTATCACTCTCAGCAGGCTCCACATTGAAAACAAACCATTGGCACCAATGATAGAGACCGAGTGACACACACCAGTATGAAGAGGGCTCCCATTATGGAACCAGTTCACATTGATCAGGTTAGGGGAGAAGTTATTGATCCTGCAGTTTAGCCTTAGCTCTTCGCCTGCCACAGGAACCACAGGGTCTGCAGTGATCCAGAGGACTTCTGGAGGGATTCCTGTTGGATGACAAAGAACAAGATAGTATACTTGGTTAGACAAGGTATCCCCAAAATGGCAGCTGCACAGAATCATAGAACAGTGAAGTTGGAAGGGGACTATAAGGCCATCAAGTCCAACCCCTTGCTTGATGCAGGGATAAAAATCAAAAGATATCTTAGAATACATCCTTCAGAGAGGCAGCTGTTTCAATCTCATCAACAGTGGATTGCAACCCAAGAAAGCTCACAATGAAATAAATTTGTTAGTGGTATATGACCTCATTTCGTTGCACCCACTTGTGAGTGCAATGACAAATAAATTTCTTATGTCTTATGTCTTATGTCTTTTGCTTTTAATTTTGGTGTTGCAATTCATTCTTTTATACATACCACAAAAGGGAAATAATTTTTTACCCACAAACCAAATTCAAATTTGGGAAGAGTCTTGGCAGCCATGATCAAGCAGTGGGGAGAGCTAAGGCCGTCAGGTGGGGCCAAGGATACAGCAGGTAGGGCCAAAGCAAAGTGGGCAGGACCACATGCCATTCTTATCAATTCGAACTTTTCCTCACCAACATTACAAAGCACAGTTCAGTTCTAGGGACAGCATTTAAGCATGGAAGTATGCCTCCGTTTCATGCAGCAACTTCTTCCCCTGCAAAGAAGGGCTTATTTGCATGCAGGTTATTTAAAAACAGAGTATTGAAAGCTCATATGATTCAAAATCATCTCATATCACTGACAATAAATAAGATCTGAAGAAGGTTGAGGGCTTCTTCCATCTAGGAGGCCAGAGATTCCTGGTTCTCATCACATGCAAAAGCTGGTTTGGGGTAAAATGTCATCACATGAAAATGTGACAGTAAAGGAGTTTCTGGTTTTCATAGACTACTATAGAGAAAATTAGAGATATAGTTTCTCTGCAGCAACATTTGCCATCCTTGTGATTCTATATGTGTTAAACTGCAGCTCCCAAAAACTGGGAGTTATAGTCTATCAAACACAGAAGGGCATCAGGGCACCTGTTATAGACCAACAAACTGTTGGTATATGTAACTGTACAACACAGTATGTATATGTGTTATATGTATCTGTAAATGTGTTTGCAGGGAAGAATTAGAATGTCATACTGTATTTGCATAGTGAAGCATCCTGATCAATCAGAATGTGCCTGGCATTAGCTAAAGGGATATATATATAAAGCAGGTGTCAGTCAGCAGTCTCACAGATAGGGATGATAGGACATGTAGTAGGATATAGTTCTGTGTGATACAGCAAGATAGGACTAAACATGTAATAGTGTTTGCATATGTGAGAAGTTATTTTATTATAGTAAATACATTGATTAACAAGCACAAACTATATGCATAGAAAATACCAATAAGTACTACGAGATAGATAGATAGATAGATAGATAGATAGATAGATAGATAGATAGATAGATAGATAGATAGATAGATAGATAGATAGATAGATAGATAGATAGATAGATAGATATAGATATATATAATGGTAAATGTTCTTTAATGTTTTAACAAAGAAACAAGTATTTACTATCAACTGCTGGCACAATTATACAGAAGGGGGAATATCAACTTTTACTCTGGAAGTGTTTTTTTTTTTATCAACATGCTTAAACTGCTGTGTTAGCTACATTTTCTATTATTTTCATAGCTCAAATCAACACAAACCTGGAAGGCATCAGTTTGGGAGCAGCTGCACTATAATACGTGCAAAGTAAATATATGAGAAATCATTTTTGCTGAGTCCACAGGGTCATCTTACCTTTCAAATTTATTTCATAGGAGAGTTCTTCCACATTTCCAAAGCTACTGTGTTTGATCTGACAAGTATAAATAGCTCCTTCCTTGTCTTTGGTCAAGATAAACTCAATCTGGCTCCAAATGCTGTAAAAACCAGTTTCGCAGGAGAAAGGTCCAAACTGTGTCACTTCCTCAACTGGCTGTCCATTTCGAAACCAATCCAGAGCAATGTTCCTTGGATAAAATTTCTCCACAACACAGGTCAGAATAAGCTTCTCTCCCTGAACGGGAAGCTGAGGTGAACTGAAGATATAGTGACTTGCTGGGCGAGCTGTGAAGTAAAGATGAAGGGGAGAGGGGATTGCATGCAGAGATTTCAGACATTATGTCGGCTTAAAAGAAAAACAGCCAAAGCTTAGGAAAGATACTCTTTTAGCCTACAACTCCCAAAATCCCTCAGTCAACACAGCCTGTGGCTATGCTCACTGGGGGATTCTACAAACTGTAGTCCAAACAAGTAATTTTTCCAAGCTCTGAAAACAGCAGGAACACAAACACCTTATTTCACAATCCCCCGACCTAGATCCCTCCAGATATTTTAATGTACAAGTCCCACAAAACCCAGTCAGCACAATTAGTCATCAGGGATGGTGGGAGTTGTATGCCAAAACACTAGGAAAGGCCCAGTTGCTGCATGAAACTGAGGCATACTTCCATGCTTAAATGCTATCCCTAGAACTGAACTGTGCTTTATAATGTTGGTGAGGAAAACATCAATTATCTGATCAGATATTATTATCCCATCAATTTCTTTCTTTCATCTAAGAAAGAGAGTTAGATTGATGCAAGGTTGAACTTGAACGGGCCTAAGCTGTTGAAGGAAGTTTGAGATACATACCTGATGAGGTTGACAGATAGCAAAAATCCAAGTTATAGGACTTTTAAAAAAAATTCAAGTAAAATTAGGATGGTTTCCTATTAGCCCATTTCTCCTCACACAGGTAGGAAAGCAACAACATACATTTCATTCACTTTGTGATGACACATGCATCACCAGAAAAAGAGGTCTGGTTTACATACATAGATACAAAATAATGGCTAGAATTACTATAACTTAAATAGAAATATACTGTCCCTTAGAGGAGAAGACTGTGTCTGGAAGACATCTGTCCCTCTAAGCCTGTTACTCGGGTGCTAAATGTGGATAATACTTCAACGTTCCTAATTTTCCTTTATATTTTCTTCATCTCTAAAATGGATTCAGAGTAGGCAGTCTTTCAGATAAAAGACTGTCTCCTTACAGCCCCTTGAGTAGAGGACTATCCTCAGTAAAGTAGAACACTTGGCCAAAAAAGATTGAAGACGGGTTTTAAAAAAAAGCCTGGTGGTTGGTTGGGAACAAAGTGGTTAGAAAGTTGAATTTGCTCAGGAGATGAAAGCATGAAACCCACTGGGTGACTTTGAGTCAGTCAGTCTCTGTCTCATTCCCTGGTTATAAGGATAATACAGGAAGCAGAGCCACATATACTGCCTTTTGCTCACTGGAGAAAAATAGGAAAGAAATATAACTCATTAAAAATAACATTGCTCTTGGTAAGAAATATAATTCCAATCAATGAAGACCCATTTCGGACACATAATTTTAAAGTTGAGTGCTCTTGATTGGTGCAGAAGACCAATCATTCATTCAGGAAGAGACAGATGTCGCTCTGGCTCCTTGCTATCATTCATCATCATCTTAGAACTGCAGAGCTGGAAGGGACCCTATGGATCATCAAATCCAGCCCCTGTCAAAGAGGCACAGTGGGAAATCGAACTCCCAACCTCTGGATTTGCAACCAGATGGCTAAACCACTGAGCTATCTAGCAGTCATAACTGGGTTCTAGCTATCCCAAGTCATGGCCAAACCACTCTCAGGAAAACCTAGGCAATGTTACTTTGCAAGACTACAACTCCCAGAATGCCCTAGGCCCAATCACCATGCTGGTTGGTGGATTTTGCAAACTATAGTCTAAAAAAAATGAGAGAAACTTACTGAGCATTGCCCTTAGATCTGAATGATGTTGCTTCCAGCAACAATTATGACACCTACCAATAACACGGTGAATCTCCAGAGTGCACTTACCAGTAACGTGGATAATGGTGGCCCTCCGCACAGGGTTCTTGAGGGTGCTGTGCTGGATATTGCATTCAAATTCTGTTCCATCATCCCTTATAGTAGGTGTGTAGGTCAGACAGGAGGAGACATTATAAAATCTACCACTGGCTTCTAAGGGTTGAACTGCCATGTTGGTAATATCTTCCCGAGAATCAGAGAGGGCCACATCTTCCCTTGTGGAGTGTCCCATTGATTCCGTCATCATGTGGGGTTTTTTCCAGTACCATTTCACCTGAATCTTTTTAGGTCTGAATCCACTGATGTTGCAGATAAGTCTGATCTTTTCATTGATTGGAATCAGGTCTGGCTTGATAACCGAGGATACCTGAGGTTCCACTTTAAAAAAATGAAAGGTGAAATCTTTCACAGTAGGCAGCAAATCCCCTGAACACAATGTCATTACTTCCCAGTAATTGTGAACAGTTGTATGTCTGCCTGGCATTTCCAGTAGTTTCACTTGAATTGTTTGAGGTTGGCATTTGAACCAACCTTGCATGGCTTGACTGGCCAGAGTGCTGAAGCAGGGTCTGAGAAATTCAGAGTCAAGTCCTTGCAGAGTTATGAAACTCACTTGGACAGCCTCAGGCAAACCTCCCTCACAGGTTTGTTGTGATGAAAAAAATTAGTGGAGGAGAGCCATGTGCAGTACTTTGAGCTCACTGGAGTTTGGGATATTGATCTAAATAATGAATTATAAAATGATTCGTCGGAATTTGGTTGACAGTGGAAACTCCAATAAAACAAAAATCTGAAGATGCCTGTTCTACAACTGAGTAATGGCCCCTCCACATTCTGCGGCTGATCAAGCTTTTTTATTATTATTAAAGGATCAAGTAATGGGTAAAAGGAAAGACCTCAGCTAGAGATGGCAGGGAGTTTCTGCCAAGCACAGCAGATAGTTGCTGGAATATTTGAACCAACAGCTTGCCTGGTATAAAACAGCTTCTTGTATTCATAAAACAGCAGTGATTCATTGATTTAGGGAAATGGCAAGAGGGATTCATTGACTCATGAAATAGCCAGGTAAGCCCTTTGGTCAAAAAGAGCTAATATGGAATATAAATGCCACAAAAAGAGTACTGCCCATAAGACACTTGGAGGACTACCCTGATGGGAAATTATGTTATTATATATATTTTCTGGGACAGCGGGGAAGATATTTGCTTCCATATACCTGTTGCTAAGGGGCATAAGCTGGAGGGGGGAGCAGGGACATTACTTTTGCATTCATGTCTTGCTTATAGGCTTCCCATTCTCATCTGTTTGGTGTGAACAGAATGCTGAATGAGAGAAACGTCTTGGCTAAAATCCCGTAATCACTACTAGAATTGGCCCACTAAATCATTTTGGATTTGGACAGCCAGCTCTTCCATAACCTCCATTGATTTAACAAGCCTATTCTAGCTGTGACATACATTTTAAGGCTCTTTTCACTGGCCCATTTGCAGGTAACAAATGAGCTTGCTAAAACAAGTGACCTCCATGTGGAAACATTTTATCCTTCTTTTTCTTTTCCTCCAATTTACCTTTTGCAAGACGCTCTTGATAAAAGATGGTGAAAAATACGCTGCATGAACCTGTCACCACGATGCAAGCAATAGCCACCCCGATGATAAATCCTGAGTCCTGGTGATAGGATGTGGGCACTAGGAACAAATATATAAATTACAACTGATTGCTCATACAGAAACCTTTATTGGCATTACAGGGTACAGGGAGTACACAGGATAGTTACATTCCAATTACAACTGATAGAAACTGATCTTTATGTCATATTCTTAATCATCTCCTTGACATCAGCCTCCAGATAGGACTCGTAGCTGAGATTAGCTTGTTCGACTTGCATTATTTGTTCATTTCATTAAGCTACCCTGCTTTTTTTTCTCCATCAAGAGAATAGCAGATCTAGTTGTTTAAACCAAAGGGAATTCTACGCTGCTGACCTGGAAGATCTGATCTAGGATACAGAACAAAAGCCATCCCACTTTGTTCTCCACCCCAAGGAAAGGCACCTGTTTATCATTATTTAGACTGCATGTAACGTTATTTCACAAAACAATAATAAAAGACATAAAGGTCAAACAGCAGTTTAACAAATAGACACTTATGCTCAGGCAGGATATTTAATTTCTAACAATGCAAGCCTGTACACGTCTACTCAAACATAAGCTCCATAGTGTACAGTGGTATTTACTCCTGTGTATATCTGAAGAAGTTTCAGCACCTGACTACAATTTTCAGGATTTTAGAGATCCCTGCACTGGAACGAGGAACAAAATCCCCAACAAAGCCTGTGGTACAGATGGACTCCACTATCCCCTTACCTAAAAATGGCTGAATCCGAGGAAGAAGTTGACTCTTAAACCAGGTATATAAAATATTTTTATCCTGCCTTTCTCCTTAAAAGGACCAAAGGCAGAGGAGGAGCTATACTGACCAAAGGAGCAGCAGCACTAAGTGGGTTGGACTTGGGAAACCACTACATACAGTCTCCTGTTTCATGTAGTAGGAAAGCTTGCACCATTCATTGTGACTAGAGATGGGCACAAATCAATTCATCCCGGTTCGGCAATTAGTAAGCACAGCACCATAGTAGGTTCCATAAACACACACACCGGCTGGCTGGCCCACTCACAATTCAGTGCATGCCTCCCGGGTTCTCCTTCTTTGGTAGAGCTCCTGTCCAGGCAGGAGCTCTGGCCACCCTTCCCTGCCTCCTCCAGCAGCTGACCACTCAATGGCTGTGAGGCAAGGATCTCCGTGGTGGATGGAGAGAACGAGTAGCTCCTGTGGTGCTGCACTGATGAATTTTGCTGAAATGGGTCAAATCAATTTTTGCCCATCTCTAATCATGACCCACATAACAGCTGATGTTTCTCCCAAATAATCCTGGGATCTGTAGTATGGAATCCAAAATACTCTCTGAGGCTGCAACACTATACAAACACACATGGAAACAAGCAAATGTTACGTGAAACTCTCTTTTCTTAAATCTTTCCAGAGCAAAAGGAGTGGAAGTGCTATTTTTCTGCCCCTAGGGCCAACACAGACTGACAAAACAGCCAAAAATGGGTGGGTCGGGGAGCAAATCTATTTACCTCTGACCACCAATGTTGTATTCCTCCGTAGCGGTTTTTCCAGGGACTCGTGCCAGACTTCACAGATGTACAGGGAGCCATTGTTAGTCTCATTCACCATTTGGGTTAAACGACTCAGCACAGCAAACAAACCATCTTGGCCATGTGAGGCTGGGACCCCGGTGCACACATCTGAAGATAACGGTGTCTCATGTCTGCTGCCATGTTTTCTGGCCAACCAAGAGATATTAATTGTTTGAGGGTAAAAGTTGTGGACATTGCAGGCAAAGGTCTTCTCTCCTTCTGCTGCATTCAATAGACTTTGGGGTGACAGTAGGACAGTAGGTTTAGCTGGTATGGAAAGACAGACCATTATTAGAGAGGAGGATCTGAATTTAGAAGAAGTTACTTTCATGAATAAAACGCCAGAATTCCCTGGCCCATTACCATGTTGGCTGACAGATTCTGGGAGCTGTAATCAAAAAAAGAAACTGTTCTGAGCACTACCTGGAGATCTAACATGGCATGGTGTTATGGCAAAGCTAGCCAAAAAAAAAAAAACTGTTCTGAGCTCTACATGGCATGGTGTTATGGCAAAGCTAGCCAACCTAAGAGGCCAGAGGGGCCATCTGAAAAGAAGAGGACTCCTCGTTCTTTAACTGTTGTACGGAGACAAGCTGCACCTACTTAAAGAGGTGCAGGGCCCCTGCCCTCTTTTTTCATAGGGCCATCTTACCTATGACACTTTTAACACTGCTGCACTAAAACACACGTCACCAATGCAATGCTGACTAAGGTAGATGGGAATTGTAGTCCAGTAACAACTGGAGGGTTACATACGTATAGTGGAGAAGAACTTGCAGATACGCTGGACTACCAGAAAGATGAACAAGTGGGTCCTAGAACAAATCATGTCTGAACTATCTCGGAAGGCAAAAATATTGAAACAGGCTGTTTTGCTTTGGGCACATCATGAGAAGACAGGATTCTTTCTTTTCTGATTTATTTATATCCCGCCTATCTAGTTGATAACAAGCTGTTTTGCTTTGGGCGCATCGTGAGAAGACAGGACTCTCTGGAAAAGGCATAGCTGTAGGCAGTAAGGAGCTGTGTCAGAGAAAGGGGGGCTTTGAGGGAAGAGAGGGGAAATCAGAAGTTAGTGATTGGCTGAGGGGAAGGCCTGCCGAAACATCAATGTTTTTAGTTGGTTTTTAAAAATACCCAGCGAGGGAGCCGCGCGAATATCAGGGGGTAAGTTATTCCAGAGGCGAGGAGCCACCACCGAGAAGGCCCGATTTCTTGTCTTTTCTCTGGAAAAGGCATAGCTGTAGGCGGGAAGGAGCTGTGTCAGAGAAAGGGGGGCTTTGAGAACCCTGCAGTCTGATATCTTTGCACAGTGATCACTGCACGTGCGGTTCTGATTGGTTGAAAACAGCCCTGCTGGGCTGCCCAGCAACATCAGGCACCTTTCGCAACCTGGGCCAAAGCTGAGAAGCTTGCAGTGTTATCCGTTGGTTTGAACTCCACCTAGCAAAATGGGCTCACAGGGTTGTATATAAAACCCCTGCAGTTATATCATAACTGCATGCTGGAGGGCTGTAATGAGGCTTTCAGAGCAGCTAAGTGATTCTGTTAATCCTGCACGTGAGAGGGTGAGTTGGGCTCTTAGACAAAAGACCCTAATCTCTGAGGGTGTTGGAAAAAGTCAGTCATTTTGAACTGTCAAACCAAGGACTCATTTATATGCAAAAGCTTCCTGTTCTGTTTCACTTCCTATTTTGCAAAGAGACTGGCTGCACTTTTAAATGTTCAGAAATACTTATTGTTGCTGAGTGGTAGCTAGACTTTAGATCAAAATCACAGTAGGTGGTTCCCATTTTCTATGCTAACCTTTGCTTCTTTCAACCCCGTCAGCCACAGGTTCCCTTATCATATGCACCTCAAGGATGCTCTGCTGCTTATGAGGCAGATCTCTACTTGTTGACACTTTCAGTAATGTTCAGCCTAAGGTTTTATTCGTATGTATTCAAAACATGTATGCTAAATAGCACCACTCTGTTCCATCCTCACTGGTAAATGGTGTGCTGATGGAATGGTGTCCTGAAGGAGGTTGTGACTGTCTGTCTGTCTGGCTAGCACCATGAACCAGAACACTTTTCAAGTTGTAAATTCCAGGCACCAACTGTATCCACTTTAAGGATGCCTCCATCTGTTTTTGTTTCAGAAATTCAAAAGCAAGTGGTACCTCTGACTTTAAGCTGGATCTTCCCATTTCCATACTGTGGAGTGACTAAAACGGTGCATGTGTAAATCCCTTCATCCATTAAAGTCACATTAGACAAGGTGAGCGATGCTATGCCATAGGGAAGTAACGAGGTCTTCACGAAAGACCCGTGACGGTAACTTGCGGTGTGGTTTCCATCAAATTGAAACACTGGCCTCTCTTCTCCAGACACTGCTTTCATGGTCCATTTAACAGCCACATCTTCCTTTTTGACATTCTCAAGAACGGTAAAGTTACAATGAAGCACAACCTGTTTGTACACCAGTCCTATTACGGGAGAACGGCTGATCTTCAACTCCAAGGCAGCTAGAAGTAAAACACCATCATTTTCACAACAACAGTATTAACCATTCAGTATTGACAGCATAAACTATAGTCTCCCTGCTTTCTAGGGCTTTGGCCAAATATTTGGAACCCCAATGTCAGGTTTCTTTCTTGCCTGTTTTACTTGCCTGGAAGTGAATCCCATTGAACTCTACAGAACTTACTTTTGAGTGGTCATAACTAGAATCATACTGTAAGTCCCAATGACCTCTGCCAAAAAGTTAAACATAGCTTTAAATATTTATTTATTTATTTGACTGTCCCATTAGTGCAAGCGCTACTCTGGGCGGTTCACAAGTTAAAACCTAAAACCCCACAAGACCTCCCATAACAATATAGACAAGTGTCTTGCCTACAGCATGAGGCTTTACTAACTGAAACTAATCAAATAAAATCTGACAAGACCATGCGTTGGAGATCTCAGTCTGATCTACTCAGATAAATAAGGAGTCAAGGTCCCAGCAGAGACATTCAATTTTGGATCTGAAATGGGCTGCAGTTCTCTACACTTGACTGTAGTGTTTGCATTTGGAAGGCTGTGAACACCTTGAAAGAATTCCACTGGTTGGTTGGAAGCCACATTAATCAGTTTGGGTTTGTGGCCTTTTTTTGCCAACTTAATTAAATTACAATATTAAGGTACAGACCCTTGCTGGATATGTCCCTGACTGCAGCCAGGTTGCATCCCAAGGGAGCTTTCTGCTCTTTCTGTCTGCTCTCTAGCCATCTGTTTAATTCCTTCATCACCCTCAACTAGGGATGGGCATAAACCTCAGTTCAGAGGTTCATGCCAGTTTGTACACATGGTGCCACTGCTGCTGTGCCCTCCATTCCCCTGCCTCCCTGGCCAATGACCCACCACCAGTCAGAGCATGCTCCTCTCCTCCCCCCCCCTCTTTGGCTGTTCGACTGCAGAAGCGGAGGTTTGATTTTCTTGCCTCCTTGTCTCACTGGGCATTCAGCCCAGGTGGTGGGGCAGGGAAGCCCATGCTCTTGCTGGAGACTGGTCAAACAGTCAAAGAGGAAGAAGAGAGGAGCTGTGACTGTTGAGTAGGTGGACCAGGGAAGTGGGGGAAGGGAACACATGGCACCTGTGGTTCATGCCTATCTCTACCCTCAAGTCTTCATGGTGAGGGCTGGGCTTTGCAATGAAGAGTGAATTTTGGAGCAGTTGTGTCTATTGCATGGGTCAACACTGAGTACCAGTGGGTGACGTGGACTTCAACAGCAGCACCCACCAGATCAGCCAGAAAACCCCCAAGGGCATTGTGGAAACCAAATGGATCCATTAGTCTCCTGCGGCAGACCATTCTGTTCGGTTCATCCACCCCACAGAGGGGCACAGTGTTACAAAAGTCCAAATCTCAGCATGTGATGATCTGACCATGACAAGGTGGAAGACTCAAGGTTTACCACCTTCAGATCATCTCTCTGCCCAGACATAACAACCAGGTCCAAGGTGTGACCTGCCACATGAGTAGGACTTGCGACATGCTGGGAGAGGCCCATGGACACCATGGATTCCATGAACTCCAAGGCTGCCCTGGTAACATGCATCTCTACATGGGTATTAAAGCCCCCCAGAAGTAAAAAATGAGACTTCAAAGTGCTTCTTTATGCACCATGTCTGCCATGTGTTTGCACAGCCACATGAATTGTCACTGTATGTGCCACGTGGCTTACTCTGAAGTCCTTAAACTAGCCAGCTGCCCTCAGGATGGTTTCCCATTGGCAGTGTTGGATTCATAAAATGGGGGGTATTATGTCCTTCACCTCAAGTAGAAACCTGTCTTGGGGGAGAGTTGTTTAGAGTTTTAAAAGGATCTTGGAATTTGTCTAGAGTAGTGGTTCCAAACCTTGAGTAACTCAGGTGTTCTTGGACTGCAAGTCTCAGAAACCCCCGGCCAGTATATCTGGGGGTGGCCCAGGTGTTTGTGCAGTCCGCAAACACCTGGATCACCCAAGGTTGGGTGCCAATGCAATAGAGAAATATAACCTGACATAACAATCATATAGCATCTTTGCTCATTTATTTATTTATTTGATTTATATCCCGCCCATCTGGTATATTTATACCACTCTGAGCGGCTAACAACAACATATACAGTATACATTAATCCATAAACATCAGCTATTAACAAAACATACCAAAATAATAAATGATAGGTAAATAAGGGAAAACAATAAATTAAATTAGATTAAATGCTGGCAGGAGGGAAGGCCTGGACAAAAAGCCATGTTTTAAGTTGAGTTTTAAATGTACCCAGCGTAGGGACCGCGCGGATCTCAGAGGGAGATTGTTCCAAAGGCGAGGAGCCACCGCCGAGAAGGCCCGGTTTCGTGTCTTTTCCCTCCAGGCCTCCCTCGGCGTCAGGCTCCTCAGCCTCACCTCCTGGCTCGCGTGGGTGATCCGGGTAGATCTTGGTGGGAGAAGGCGTTCCGCCAAGTATCGAGGTCCTAAACTGTTTAGGGCCTTGTACGTGAGCATTAAAACTTTGAAGTCGATACGGAAGCAAATGGGCCTGGTATCTGTTTTCTGTCTCCTGTAGGAATATTTACAATAGAACCCAACACTAAATATAAGCCATAAATTACTGCACGTGAGATGTACCACACATCCAAGACTCCTACAGCTACTTGTGAAATTGATATTTCATCCACTATTTCATTTTGTTTCCATATGTCTGACAAAGTGGACTCGTCCACGAAAGCTCACATTGAAATATAACAGTTAGTCTTTAAGATGTCACATGCTTTTGCCTTTGTTTTGGTTTGTTTCTTTGGATTTAACCTGAATACAGGATCTGCAATGCGGGAGAGATGCTAACACAGATGGAGGACGCAGCAGGCTTTGTTTTCTGCTGTTTCAAAGGGCACAACCTAAGCCGACAAGTTCAAATTGCACGGAGGAAGATTTCCACCCAGGAAGACTTTTCTGATGTCAAGAGTTGTTTGACAATAAAATAAATTACCCCAGAAAGTGAAGGTTTTTTTTCCCCCTTCAGGGGAGGTTCTTAATCACAGAATGGAAGAGCAGCTGTCTGGATGGACAAGGGGGTCGGAATCAATAAGGATCAAGGTTGCTTCCATCTTTACAGCTGCAGTCCCCACCTACTGTCAGCCAAAGGCAGGTGATAGCCTGAGGTGCTAGAGCACTGAGGGTTCTGACAGTCTCTACCACTCACTGCTGGCTGAGCCAGATCCTGGGTCCACTGCCACGCTCCCTCCTCATCTTCTACCCTCCCAGTGACTGTGGCAGAGGTGAGGTCTAGGGACACCTTTTAACACCTTAGGCAGAGCAACTTGGCCACAATCTGCGGTCTACCTTGCAACTACAGAATCCATGACAGCTGGCTCTAAATACCCCTATTAAGGAAAGCCCACAACATCCAAATTCTGGTCCACAGATGAACAGCTCGTTTGCACATTCTGGCCACATATTTAGCTGCAATCGATTCCCTGTCAATTCCAAGCTAGGACTGAAACATCTCTCTCTCTCTCTCTCTCTGGAACAACCGATCGGTCTTTTTCAAGTGCAAAACCGAACTGCAGATGCCATCAACCCAGCGGGCCAGGCGTCTGTCCTGGCATCGGAAAGGGTCACTTTGCGGAGACCGATCTCCCTTAAAGGGACCCCTTCCATCTGTTGGGGAATCGCTCCCGTCCTGCAACTTTGCTGTGACAGTATCCTCAGTAGAGGCACGATTCAGTTCCACAAAACAAAAGGCACGGAGCGTCCTTACCTGCAGCCGCCAGACAGAATAGGCAGAGTACCAGCAGTCGCATGGCATGGCCTGTTTGCAGAGAAAGAAAGAAATCGCAGCGGGTGAACTTTGGACTGCACTGCGAAGAGATTCGAAAGTACGCGCAGATCCTGATCAGCAAGGTTATCATCAGTTTTCACATACCAAGGTGCTGCTTTGCAACGGTCTGGGAACGAATTAATGCAACTCTTAATTCTTGCTAGATGTGGAATTAATACTGGGATAAAGCATGGAGAGCAGTATTAGGAAGTAATAATCCCATAACAAACACACCTGTTGGGTTCTGAACTTCTGATCCTTTGTACCTTAGGAGCCAGAGTCCGGGCAGTATGGTGGATATAGGGTTGGGCTAGGACTCAAAAGACCTGATTTTGAATCCTTTCCCGGTCGTGGGAACTCCCGGGGCGGGACGGTGGGGGCGGCACTGGCAAAACAATTCCTTAAATATCTTACCCTACTAGAGTCGCCGTAACTCGGAAACAACCCGAGAGCACGTAATATACGATAGGAACACGGGCGAGGAAACAATCTTCTCCTAATTTCTCAGACATACGGAGCGCTGCGGACGAGGAAGAAGGGCGGCGCCGATCTTTGGGCTGAAAAGTTATTTCCTGGCCGGTGGAACCCGGGATCCACGGGGAAACGGGCACAGGGCCTGGAGCAGCTTCTCTAGCAAGTAAGTGAATACGCCCCCGACACAAGCAGCCTGGAGCGCTAGGACGCTTGCAGAAGAGGAAACAGCCGGATAGACGTCTCGAACTCGCCGCCTAACAAGTCTATAAAACTCATAGTCTTCCACGTTACCGTTGTGCCACTGCTGAAAGTCATTGCACGCCCTCCTCTGGAGAATGTAAATAAAGCAGCTCTAGTTTCTTTATGTTACGCAAGGAGCGTAGTGTTCACACGTTTACGTCGGTCGCGTCACGCAGTGAGGGCTTTGTGATTTCTTTTTTTAAGCCACTCGTTCTTGCTTCCGTTCGCCTTTAAGTCGCCGTCGTCCCCCCCCCCCAGTGGCCGGCCCTTCTCAACCCAGAAATGGGATGTTTACCAGGAATGAAATACTGTACACAGAAGTGCGACTCTGAGGTGCAATCCAAGGCATGCTAGTTTGAGATTGAAAGCATGCAAAGGATCGAGCTAGCCTGCAAGTCCCCAAGAACCGAGAAAAGTGAATTCATCTCCTCGTCTTTGAAGTTTTTGCAAATAACGAGAGAAGGGAGAGGACGTGAGTAGGGTGTGCAGCCTCCTGAGACAGCCTAAGAAAATCGGGTGCTGAATAGGTACACTCGCCATTTTTCTGATACTCTCCCTTTCTCTTTTAATAATAATAATAATAATAATAATAATACAGTGGGGTCTTGACTTAAGAACGGCTCGAGTTAAAAACATTTTGACTTAAGAACCGCTCTCATAGGAAAATATTGACTTGACTTAAGTACTTAGATTTGAGTTACAAACTGAAAAAAACCTACGTGGGAGGCAGGGAAAGTGCAGAATGTGAACTTTCAGTTAACTGTTGGCCAGTGAAAAGGGTGCCTGTCTGCTTCCTCACTCCTCCCAGCGTTTAGAGAGAGGATTTGGATTCTTCAGACTGCCTGGTACTGCCTGGACTGTATTTTCCCTGCCTTCCCTGAACCTTTCTTGACCTAAGAAAAAAAGAAACAAAATATCCCCCTCTAGTGGTCGAAGGCGGAATAGCAGCTTCCCATTAGTTTCTATGGACGGAAAAGAGCAGATATGGATCAAATGGTTTTCAATGCATTCCTATGGGAAATGCAGATTTGACTTGAGAACTTTTTGACTTGAGAACCGCCTTCCAATACGGATTAAGTTGTCAAGTCAAGACCCCACTGTAATAAAAACTTACAACTGCAGAGATAGAAGGGACTCTAAGGATCACTGAGTCCAGCTCCTATCAATGAAGCACAGTGGGGAATCGAACTCACAACCGCTGACACTGAGCACTTATTTCCATGTAATGCATCAGGTTGACCTAGAAAATCCATGTGTCCAACCAACACTTACTAAACTTGCACCAAAGTATGCTGTCAAATGTAAAATCAAAGTCCTTAACAAGAGAGGGTGGAACTCTAACGAAGATCTGCATATTTATTCCAAGAGCCCCTAGAAATATCTGTATTTGCTACCCTTCCTCTGAGAAGGCTGTACAATCGGCATGTATTTAGCAGGCAGTTTCCCCTTCACAGCAGTGTTAGGCTGAGATAAGTGGTGTAACACACATGGATTTCTGCCTGCCTGATGACAAGATGGAAGCCAGGGGAACCTGGAGAAGAAAACATGCCATATTATGATAACATCCTTGTGGTGCATTAGTTGTTGGCAAGTATTTGTTGCTGGCAGCACAGAAGTAGCTTGTTGACAGGCCACAATATGCTGCTGCCTGAGGCATGGCGAGGTCCCAGTCTGCCTAATAGGATCAGCTCTGCAGCTGTTGCACTGGAGAGGAGAAAACCACACAGCCCTCCACTCTCTGTGTTAATGTAATTTAAATTTCATTGGAGGTTATTCTCAATGTGAATATAACTGTAGCCTTAACAGTGCAATCCTGTGCATGCCTCTTCAAAGTGTCACTGAATTAGTTGGGACTTCCTCCCCATTAAGCAGATATAGCACGGCCCCTGATTTAATCGTATTTAAATTCCCCAGTTTTGTTCATTTTGAAGATTAGGCTTTCACCTTTGGAAAGTATGATGACATCTCCATTTTACTAGTATTTATGCGAAGGAAAAGAGCAGATGGTTCAAAGTGCATGTATCTAAGAGTGGAAACGTATGACATCTAATGGAGTCTTGCTTCTCTTAACTTTTGAAATGTCATATAAGGTTCAGTCATCAGGTTCTTAACCTTTGTTACTCAGATGTTTTTGAACTGCAACTCCCAGAAACCCCAGCCAGCACAGTTGGTGGTGAAGGCTTCTGGGAGTTGCAGTCCAAAACTCCTGAGTAACCCAAGGTTAAGAACCAGTGATCTAGCTGTACACCCCTGGTGGCTGGTATTAAAAAGTTAGATGACTAGAGCCAATAACTGAAACTCTGCATCCTGACATCCAAAGCAGGTGGTATATGAAACAGGACCATTTTGGTTATGGTACCTCAACTGTAGAATGCCCTCCCAACTCATTCTGCTTGTCTTTAAAACAAGAAAAACATCAGCATTTGGGAAGGCTTTGGGGTACAGTATGAGTCTTAGGATAGGCTGTTGCAGATATAGGTATCTTTCCCATTCTGTTGCAGGTTTTTTTTTAAATTCATGTATGCTTTGTAGTTGTAGGCTTTCTTTTTTATCTTTTTATAACGTATTTTATTGTGCTATGCTTATCATGAGCCATCCATTATTGATTGTCTCTTGTAAGACAAAAATGCAGGGCAACAACATTTGAAATACTGTACTAATATTCCTGAGGCATACTTAACCCCCTTCAGCTAGAATGTGGCCAACGTAGCTGTTTGTTCCACAAAACTGAGAGGAAGGAATAGTAACAAAATATCTAATATGAAAGAAAAAATCCTATTGTTAAGAGCCAGTCATAAATCACATGACCTAAAAGCCCATATAAGGAAAATTCTTATTTTAACCACAGAAGCTAATGACGAGCAATTGTTAGTTTTATTAGCAATGGTTGTTAAAACATACAGCACAATCCTAAGTTTGTTCAGTCAACATAACTTATTAACTGTATCTAGTACTGCAGCTCCATAAGCCTCTCCTATATTTTTCAGAAGCAAAACCAACTGGATTCAATGAATCTTATGCCCTTGTAAGTGTACATGGGACCACCTGAGTTACTAATCTTGCAGTCAGTGAGAATGTGCATGCAACAGGAAGTTTGCCAGACCTACTTATAGAACGGCACTTCCCCTCTGCATTTAGCAATAGGTTACTGGCCATTGAGTATTGACCCCTTACTCCAGAATAACCATGCGAGACCAAGTGTATGGGTTAAACACGGGCCACACTTTATTAAATATTCAGTTCTCATGAATATTGCCAATCCTTCAGCAAAAGGGGGGTCCTGCTGTAGTGCGGATTCAGGTTTCCATCTTGGGATCTCAATTGACCATCGAACGGCAAATAGGCTGAACCCGGGCCTCAGTTAATCCCTTCTTTAATTACCATGGGATAACTATCAGTCCCCATTTTGCCACGGACCCCTTGCCACTCTTTCTGTGCCGACGGGCCTGTGTGCATCCCCAGCACATCTTTCCCTCTAAGCACTGTAATCGCCTGACCCACAGTGCTGGGAGTTCAGATGAAGTACAATTTCCTGCCATTACCATCAAATTCCGGTTCCCGTACCTGTCGAATCCGCACTATGACAAACAAGGAAGAAGTCACGAGGAGTGCATTACTTTAAATACCGTCCGTTTTCCACGCCCACTGGCTGTTCTCACAAATAGCCATGATATCGCATGTCATCCGGGGAAGTGGCAAGGGCATGCCTCACCGGGGGATTCCTCGCCCCCCCCCGGCGGCGTGTTCAGAAGTTTTAGGACTGCCAGACTCCACATAAGGCCAGGCTGTTTATTTCTTTCTTTTAAAGACCACAATAGGCTGTGATGCATGTATAGTCTTGTGAACTGCATACAATTCTGTCAATCTTGCCCTGGGCTCAGCTGGAAGGACTACATGACTTGGCTGTTTAAGACTAACATTAAAAAAATGCAATGTTTTCCTTTTTTAGGAAAATAAAGCAGTATCTTAAAGCAGTAATCAGATCATAGCCATAAAACCACAACAAGCTTTATTGTACAAATGTGAAACAATGCAAACAATTTATTTTATAATGCATCATAACTGAAACTTTTATTTGAATTGCATACTGAGTAAAACCTCTTTCCCCTAGCCTTGCATGCTTTTTGTGTTATTTTATCCAACCATGGATCTCTTCCGTCCCCTTAGCCGTACTTCATCCAGTTTTTTAATAACTGGAGCCGATTTTTTAGATGTAACCGAGTATTTCTTCAACAGAGCTTCAAACAGAGTCTCCGTATTTGGATGGGTACTCAAAAAAGCTTTCTCCAAGACATATAAATCAACACCTTTATCTTCAGGAAGTGCAGAAATAAAGCTCAATCCAAAATCTATTAACACTAGATCCAGCTTTTCCACTGGTGGTCGCAAAAGGATGTTTGATGTTGTGAGATCCCCATGTACAAGATCTTCATCATGCATCCGTGCCAACATCTCACCTATCTTCTCTGTTAATAAAGTAAGGCTACTGGCATTTTCTCCAGATTGTTGTTCAGAGATGATATAGTCCCGCACTGTAATTGATTCAACAATATCTTCGAGATAGATACAGTTGGAAACATAATCCACAAAGTATACAACAGGAGCAGAAATACCTAAAAAGAGTGGGCAATCAACTGTTAGTTTTACATTAATAGTTAGTTATTAGTTACATTTGTATCCTTCCTTTCCATCTCTACCTGGAAAAACCATGAAAAGGGTTGCCATAAGTCAGAATTGACCTGATGGTACTTGGTAAATATTATTAACCACTATATCATAATGACACTCTTAGAAAGCCAGTATATAAACTGCAGCTGTCCACTTTAACACTTTCCCTTTCTTGAGGAAGCAAGACATGTGGGAACAGACAGGGCAGAGAGTGTGGACAGGAAAGGACGAGCCATTAGATCTCATAAATCTCACTCATAGAATACCTGTTTGGGGCTTCAAAGAACAGGAGCACAAAATGAATAAACACTCCTAACTGACCTGTGTCGTCTTCAGGTGCTCAGCTTTGTAACTCCCTAGAAATTTAGCAAAGCTTTGGAGATGAATAAATAAAAAGTACTTAGCCAGAGGCCCACCTGAGGGATTCCTGCATTCCTACCCTAAGAGCTTTTACCCTGAGCAACAGTGGAGAGATAAAGCCAAGAATCTAGAATAGTTTATGATGAAGCAAAGCAGTGTTTTGTATTAAAACCCCATTTTGATAACTCTCCCAAAATGAATAGGAAAGTTAAATAAATAAATAATAAATACATTTATATAATTGTTAAAATTATTATTTCCCAAAGACCGGGAATCTCACATTCCCCCCACATTCAAAACCCACCAAATGGTTTCTTTTCCATTTGAATCCCCCCCGACCCCCACAATACTCAAATTCCAATCTTTCCAATAAAAGTGAACCGAGAGAAGAGATGGATCTTGTGAACTGCGAAGTGTAGAAACACAGTGAACCATGTCTGCTTAGTCGTCCGCCTTCCCCGTCTTGCATTTTTCACATCGCTCCAGACATGCAACTGCAGTTTTAGCCCCCAGGGGAAAAAAACTTGTTGGAACATAACCATGGGTCCTTTTAAGGAGCAAGGCAGGGTAAAAATANATAAATAAATAAACAAACAAACAAACAAACAAACAAACAAACAAACAAACAAACCCAATTGCGTGTTTGTTGCTTGAAAAAAAAACAACCCCGATCACATTCTTAGTTTATGGGAAAGACTTAATACGATCATTCACAAACTTCGAAGGACTTTTCGAAAGCCTCTTTCTCTCCCCCCCCCCGCCCACTTTCCGCGGCTTCTCCTCTCGCCCAATCCCCGTCCAAGCCCCGCCCCCACCTGCCCGCCGACAGCGCAGCAGCGAGCGCGCTTCTTGCGCCGTTCGCCTCCGGCTCAGTCGTTCCTCCAGGATCGGGTGCCGGTAACGCTTCGGGAAGCGGTGCTTGATCACTGCCGGGCGGCCTAGGAATTGGCCCCGGTAGACGCGGGCTTCAGCCCCCTGTTGTAGCAGCTCCAACCCCGCCATGGGCGGAGGAGTTACTACTTCGGCCTCAGGGTCGGCCGAGCGCCCCTCAGCACCCGGACCCGCCATGATGGGCGAAACGGCTATGGCCGTCCTTGCTGTATTGCGCATGCGTAGTCCCTAGAACTACGTCAGCGACGTACCGTGAGCCATTTCCGTAGAGGCTTAGTCATTGCTTACTTAAGAAATCGTCCCTTAAGCCTGAAAAAGTTTAAGTCAAAATCTGCCTTTGTGAGGCGACCTATTTGGCTTTTTTTGTTTGTTTTGTACTCCTCAAACAGCGCTTATTGACCGTGGTAGAGGCAGTCTGACTAGTTGTTGACAGCCTACCTAGCCTTATTCCAGTGTAAATCTGATCGGACTCAGTGGGTCTTATTCGTTCCAGCTCTGCTTCTTGCTTGTGTGTTACTACTTAGAAGGAAGTTTCGCTGTTCTCAAAAAGGGACCCTTCCAGGGAAATCTATGCATATAATTGTCTCTTTGGTTACTGCAAGCATGTATCTGTAATAAACAGGTTGCTGGCTTCATAGGATTCTATGAGTTGTTTTTGAATTCTGCCATCCCATATGGTTATTTGCACCTACCCTTTCAGTGTAGTGGTGGCGCTGTGGGCTAAACCGCAAAAGCCTGTGCTGCAGGGTCAGAAGACCAAGCAGTCGTAATGTGGTTGCGTTTCAGTGTGCGATTGCTTTTCACTTGCAGGACATTTGCCAACACTATTTCTTGTTTCAATTTCTATTGTTGAAACATCGTAAGGTGTGAAGAACTCCAAGTAATGTATCATTGTCACATTCTGCGTAGTACTAATAAAAGTTAGCTTCAGTGTCACTGCAATTGTGTCTGAAATATCCTCTGCTAATATCACCTTCCACTATTGCTGCTGCTCAGTAGGTACTCTCAAAGAGGTTCTCTGACCCAGTCTGGGACATACTGGATATGATGTTGATATGATCATTAATCTGGAAGAGAATGGATGCATTTTAGTCTGTTGGTATTTCACCTTTGACCATTCCATTCTGGGTGATCCACAGTTTAAAATAGGAGGCTATTTTTGTACCTGGTTATATGGCTACTTATATGGTGAAAGAGAAGAGCGCAAAAAATGGTATGAAGCTCAACATGCGATTGCTTTTCATTTGCAGGACATTTGCCAACACTATTTCTTGTTTCAATTTCTGTTGTCAAATCATCGTAAGGTGTGAAGAACCCCAAGTAATGTATCATTGCCACATTCTGCATAGTACTAATAAAAGTTAGCTTCAGTGTCACTGCAATTGTGTCTGAAATATCCTCTTCCACTATTGCTGCTGCTCAGTAGGTGCTCTCAAAGAGGTTCTCTGACCCAGTCTGGGACATACTGGATATGATGGTGATATGATCATTAATCCAGAAGAGAATGGATGCATTTTAGTCTGCTGGTATTTCACCTTTGACCATTCCATTCTGGGTGATCCACAGTTTAAAATAGGAGGTTATTTTTGTACCTGGTTATATGGCTTCTTATATGGTGAAAGAGGAGAGCAAAAATGGTATGAAGCTCAACATCAAAAAAACCTAAGATCATTGCCACTGGTCCCATCAC